CCCCAGACGGGGCCTGCCCCGAGGCCGCCTGCGCCGCCCGGCGGGGCCTGCGGGCACCCGGCCGCGGGGACGGGGACGTCGCGGGGCTGGGGGCGTCGCGCGGTACCGGGATGTCCCCCCCGCGGGACCGGCACCGAGGGGCTGGGTTGTCTTCCCAGGGCTGGGCACCCAAGGGACGGGGTGACTCCCAGCCCGGGACAGTGCCCCACAAAGCTGCCCCGGCACCGGCGGCTCCGGGTGACAGGGTCGGGCCCGTCCMGTGCGGATCCGCTTCCCACAGCCCGGTCCGGGAGCCGCTGGATCCGCAGGCGGCCGCGGGCGCCTGTTGCCCTGCGGAGCTGCTCGCTGCCGTTCGCTCCCGGCGCCACCGCTCGCCTTGACCGCTGCTTCCCGGGAAAAGCCGCCTTGGAGCTGCCCAGCAAATGGGGTTTCTAAATGGGTGGTAGATCCGCGTGTCGCAGCCGGGACACGGGTCCGGAAGGACCCTGCGGATGGGCCGGAGCCGACGCTGCTGCTCCTCGGTGGTTCTGTCTCATCCAGGCTCATCCGCGGGGTGACCGGGTGAACGTGGGGATGAAGCTGCCGGGAAGGGTGCTCTCCCAGCAGGAATTGGTGTTATTTTCCCCCCTTGCACAAGGCAAATTCCCCCTTTTTTTTTGTTAAAACACTTCTGCCCATGGGCAGGGAGGAGCAGAGGCAATTCCAGCGCGCGGAGCCCTCGGAGCTGCTCTCGGTGCAGCCTCTGGGAGCGGGACCCGCGGGAAGGCGCCGACCGCGGCCAACGCGGGAGGAACCCCTTGGGAGCGGGCGCCGCAATTCCGCACGGAGCAATCCCGGGAGAATCCAGACCAATTATTGCCGCAGCTAAATCTGGAGCCGGCAGCTCCTTTGAAAGCGCTGCCCTTCCTGTGAGTCGGGAGATGGGGAATGCGAGGCGGGCGGCAGGGAAGAAAGCGCCTCGCTGAGCAGCGCTCGCTGGGCCGAGGAGCGCTGCGATTGTGCAGCGGTGTCTATTGTAGCCCGGGAGCGGGCTGCCCGCTGCACGGGCCGCACGGTTTCCAGGGAGAATGCTGCCCGCGCTCGTATAAATAGCAGCGAGATAATTGGATTTGAAAAGGGAAATGTTTGTCTTTTGTGTTTGGTAATCAAAGTCCTTAATAGAGCTTAAAGCCGGGCGCATGTGGGCTGCGCAGGGGCCGGTTTCTCCCCGTTCCTGGCACTGATTGGCGATAGCTGTGGCGGGGACAAGGCCAGGATGCGCGCGGGCTGCTCCCGGGGCCGCTGTCCCGTGTCCCGTTCCCATTCCCGGTCCATTAGCTGGACAGACAGCGACTGGATTGTTGAGCAGCCCGTTCTTCGCCTGGGAATGCCCAGGGATCGGGCTGAACTTTGCACTTGTGTCCAGCTTAAGTAAAAGGTGCTGCAAGATACAAAAGCCAGACTGAACATCGTGTGCATGCCCACGGAACAAAACGAACTCGGCAAAAACCAATATTTGCAATATTTGCAATATTTGCAATATTTGCAGTAACAAGCTCGGGGGTAGGAAGGTGTCAGCTTGGGCCTTTGGCCTCCCGCGGTTCCTGCCGCTCTGTGCGGCGGTGCTGGGAGCAGGGCGAGCTCAGCACCTACACACAGCACAACCCAGCCCCGGGTCCGTTCGAGCCCTTCTTGGATGGAGGTTTCCAGTGCTTTTGCATGGGCTACATGGATCCCATCACAATATTCAGGTCACAGAACAGGAAAAGCCACGTTCAGCTCAGCCACCCTCCTTAAATCCCAAGGGAAAACAGTGGATCGACTTTCCACCTTCAGAAGGAAGGTGGAGGAAGAGGGGAACCTCAGGATTCATGGTGCTGTCCTGAATCAGAACGTGTCCCCTCAGTGATTTTCTGGAATAGCTTAGAGCACTCTCTGTGCTGCTCCCACCCTGCGCTACCCTGCATCCCCCTTGCTGCAGGTGAAGTCCCCTTGTCCCAAATCCAGCGCCCTTGGAGAGCATCTTCACCTCTGCCCCGCTGGGACACTCTCCACGTGACACAAGGAGCTCACATCGGCTTTAATTCACTTTTATTTTAGAGTGAACAGTCCCGTTTCTCCAGCTCTCCCTACAGAAGGAAGCGAGCTGCAGTAGCTGCTTGCACCACAGCCTCTTTAATTTCACTCCTCCTTGCAATTTATAAGTTCCACTCCTGGAGTCCTGTGATTATAGGGAACAAACAAGAAATCTCCTAGAAGCCAAGAGTGAAAACACGAGCTTCAGCTGGCCGAAGAGTGAAGAACCAGCGAAGAAATTAAGAAGCCAAGAGCCAAACATCCCATTTTCCTGCTGCCTTGGAGCTGCTCCCAGCACAGCGTCGGGCGCCGTTTTGCACCCTCGGCGCTGGCAGCATCCCTGGTTGTTCATCCTGAAGCTCCTTGTGGGAGCGACTGTTGGCTCCCAGGAAGCAGAGCTGTGTGGCTCCCGCTTTCAGGTGATACCCATTAAAGAGGCTTTTATTTTATTATGGGGCCTGAGAGCTGCTTTTGGACGGCCCTCTCCCTACCTGGGAGCTCGCTCAGGATGTGGGAGAAGCCCTTGGGAGAATTGGTGCCATTGCTTGGACATTTTAACAAAGACAGGAAGAAAGGCAGTGGGCAGTGTGTGATAAGGAACAATGCTGCCCTGGCAAGCACTTGTTAAGCTCAAATTCCTTGTCCCCTCCCTCCTTTTATTTTTTTCCTCATTTAATAGGAAAGAATAGAAATCGCTACGGAAAAGAAATTTTATTTTTAACCTTTTGAAAGGGCTTTCAGGGAGAAAAGGGAGTTGATGCTAAAATTGCAGGATGGAAAGGGCTCTTTTGATCTTGAGCCGCTTTGTTGGCATTGTTGGGCAGCGCTTTGAGCCGGGACACGTTACCACTGCCACCCCTGCCACCGTCTCCCTCTGCCTTCAGTCAGCTGCCGAGAGGCCAGAGTCTGCTCCTGAATGTCCCCATTTTTTAGCAGCATTAGTAATTAGCAAGCAATTAGTAATGAAGAGCTGTGTTTCGGTGTGATGCCGTCTTGCGGTGGGACGGGGCCTCCTCGCCGGGTGTTGTCGGGGGTTGATTTGGTGCTTCCAGAAGGGGCGGGATTGGGCTGGTGGGATCCAGCACCCGGTGGAGTTTGGCTTGAGCGGCCCCGGTGGCTTCACGGCCCCTGGGTGTCACCCTTGTCCCGCGAAGGGACCGAGATGCCCGTTCCCAGTGCCATCTCCCTCCGTCCATCCCTGGATGCAGTGGCGCAGGGTGCCACTCGCCAGGCACTGTGTCACCGCCTGGGGCCGTGTCACCGCACGGGCGTCCCCAGGGCCCTGTCACCGCAACGCCGCCTGCCAGGGTGTGCTGTGACCCCAGGCACCTCTGGCGTGAGCCGAGCTCCGCTCCTCCGCACTGCTCTTCCATCCCGCGGGAGCCTCCGGCACTCCGGAGCGTTGCCGAGAGCCCTGCGGGCCTGTTCCCGTGTCCCGGGGACAACAGGCGGCCCCCAGGGGCTCCTGGCTGTCCTGTCCTCCCCAGCCAAGACCCTGCTCTCTTATCCTTGTGTGGGCACCCTGCCCATGCCGGGGAGGCTCCCGACGGACGAGGAGCCGCAGGGCAGGGAGGCAGCGCCGGGGCAGCGGCGGCAGGACACGTTATTCTTAGCCGCCGGTGTTGGGTTTCACCCACCGCCTTGTTTACCCCGAGAGCACCCGGAGCGGCGGGACCGGCTGTCCCGGGTGGCCAGGACCCCCGCGCCACCCCCGGGGGCACCGTCCCCGTCCCCTGTGGGGAACAGCCGCTGCGGCCCCGCTCGCGCCCTGGGCACCGGGGCAGCCCGATGAGCCCGGCCCGCGCGGCCACCGGGGCTGTTTGTCACCAGAGGGGCGGCCACAGGAGGTGGCACCCCAGCCCCCCCGCCTCTAATCAAGGCAGTGCTATTAATACCAGGTAATGAGCGTAATCTCTAAGCTAAGCCGTGCCCTTCGAGCGGCTCGGTGCGGCGGGACGGGCAGCGGAGCCCCCGGCGCGGGCTGCCCATGGCCACGCTCGGCGGGACCCCCGCGCCGCCCTAGAGCCGCCGAGGGAGGGACGGAGCGGCCGCGGCGCCGCGGGCACCGCTCCCATGAGCGGCCCGGCCGCCTGCGTGCGCATCTCGGGCTGCCGGGCCCTGGCGCCCGGGGGCAGGTGAGTGCCGCCGCCGCGCGCGCCCTGGCCCCGGCTCCGTTTTGCATCCTGGTTTCCTGGGGCTGGCGCTCGCCGGAGGATGGGAGATGGCAGCTGGACACTGCCCCTCGGTGCCCCAGGATCCACACAGATCCTGGGAACCACGCGACTCCCAGGATCCACACAGCTCCTGGGATCCACGCAGCTCCTGGGATCCACGCGGCTCCCAGGATCCACCCAGCTCCCATCGCTCCCACCCAGGCCCGGCCGGCGGTTCCCGCAGGCCGCCTAGAGCACTGGTATTAACTTCCCGCTATTTATAGAGCTGCCCTTCCCTGGGTGCTTTACCTTGTGAGTAGGTGCCTTGAAAACACTTTGTAGCTGCTCCAGGGAATGCTGAAAATGCTGGAAACGAACAGGAAAATGTGCCGGGTAGGAAATGGCTGGGAGCGGTGGTGGCTTCGGAGGGCGACGGAGCCCTTGGCTGGCCAAGGCAGCGGGCGCAAGCAAGCTGCACGTAGGAGCCTTGCAGTGTAACATGAGGAGGGAATTTATGAGCTTTGCAGCGCTCCAAAACAGCCACGCAACCCCCATCGCCTCCACAGCCCGCGCTGAGCGCAGATAAATCATGGGAAACGCTGATTTAGGAGGTGGATTATAGAATTTATGTCAAAGTCCCCGAGTATTTGGATGAGAAAAGCCCTGAGCCGTGTGCTTCTGCCCGCAGCAACAGCAGCGCCAGGTCGCTGGAGCGGCTCTACCCCGCGGTGGGCTCCGCCAAGCCGCCCCGCAAGAGGACCACGAGCCAGTGCAAGTCGGAGCCGCCGCTGCTGCGCACCAGCAAAAGGACCATCTACACGGCGGGCCGCCCGCCCTGGTACAACGAGCACGGCACCCAGTCCAAGGAGGCCTTCGTGATAGGTAGGCAGCGGGCGGCTTTGGGAGCTGCTCCTGGGCGTCTCGCCGGAGCCTCCGAAGTGTCCCTGCGGGTGGCTCCGGGCTGCTCGGTGCGGGCGGGAGCAGGGAGAGGCCCCGCGGCGAGGCCGGAGGTGCCGGGGGAAGCTGCGGGGCTGCCGGTGGTTCACGGGCTGTTGCAGGTGTTGGAGGGTCACAGCCCTTCCCGGCTCTTCCCACAGCTCCTGCCCTTGTTGCCTGGCTTGTCACGAGCTCCCAGGGATTTAGTGCTGGCTCTCCTGCCAACTCTCCCTGGGTTACACAACCAGTATATGAAGGTCTTCACGGCTTTTGCTGCCTGGTAGTGGCAACTAGAGCACTTTCCAGCTGGCATTTTGCAGGATAACCTCTCCTGGGTACTGCCCATCAGTTTCCCCTTGTAGCAGTGCTTCCCAAGGTGTGCCACGGAGCGGGAGCCGGGATCCAGCTGTGCTTGGAGCCTCATTGTGGCTAACGGGGATTCCTCTCCTCCTCTCTGCAGGCCTGGGAGGAGGCAGCGCCTCGGGGAAGACGACAGTGGCCACGATGATCATTGAGGCTCTGGATGTGCCCTGGGTGGTCCTGCTCTCCATGGACTCCTTCTACAAGGTAGGGCTGCTTGCTGTCCTGCCCAGGCTCCTTGTGCCACCATTCTCTTTGCACAATGGAGAGCTGAGGGCTCGGCAGCCTCGTGGTTTCTGTGGTCCTTGGGGTGGTAACGGGGCCTCAGCAGCGAGCGGGAGGCTCGGCTGAGGGGACGGCCACAGGCCTCACCGTGCCCTTGTGCCCAGGTCCTGACCAAGCAGCAGCAAGAGCAGGCAGCCAGCAACGACTTCAACTTCGACCACCCCGACGCCTTTGACTTCGACCTGATCATCGCCACGCTGAAGAAGCTGAAGCAAGGCAAGAGTGTGAAGATCCCCATCTACGACTTCACCACGCACAGCCGGAAGAAGGAATGGGTACGGGGCATGGAGCCGTGGGGCAGCACGGGAGGGACCAGGGCCAGGGGGCTATTGGGCCCCTCCATCCCCTGCCCTTTGCAGTTCTCTTCTGCTCTGTGGCTGGGACAGGACACGTGTGTTTTGAGTGAGCAGTTGTGGTCACAGAGAGACAGAGAGGGCGGCTGGCAGCGAGAGCAGCCCTTGTTAGCACGTGGTGGAAGCTGGTGCCTGCAGAGGGGAGCCAGGACAGCTACGCTGGAGAGGCAGGAGCTGGGGTGGTTGCTCCACATGGGTCTGTTCAGTTTGTTTGCAGGGGCCAGGGTGTTCCAAGGGGCTGTGGGTTCTGCAGAAAAGCTGGAAGAATCCTGTTTGTGTCACATACCGTGTCCCACCGGCAGCTTTTGGAGGRCTGTCAATGACCTCAAAGCCTGGGGAGTAGAAATGGAGCAGAAATTCGTGTCCTTCCTGCTCTTGCTCATCTCCCCGTTGCATTATCCTTTTTCCTGGGGCGGGGGGATCTTTGCACACATGTCCCTGCCTAACCGCGTTTATTTTGACTCTGCAGAAAACCTTATATGGAGCCAATGTGATTATTTTTGAAGGCATCATGGCATTCGCAGACAAGGAGCTCCTGAAGGTGAGGAAGGGTTTAGGACTCGCTTTGTGGGAAGCCTGACAAGTGTTAGTGCTGCAGCAGGCTGGTTCCACAGCTGAAATCCCAGTATATCACAGGCGAAGAGAGTCCCGCTCCCGCAGGAGCCCCGTGCGCCGTGTCCTGCTGCACAGCACCCTGTTCTCCTGCAGTGCTTCGGTGCCACCCTGCAAACCTGCACTTCACCCCGGCCTGCAGCAGGGAGCTGGGGAAGCTGCTGTCCCCCGAGATCCAGCAACATTCCCCGTGTGCTGCCGGCTGCCCCCAGGGCTGCAGCTCCTCCCTGTGTGCGAGGAATAAATCTTGGCCCTTGCAAAACAGCAGGCAGTGAGCGATGCACACACAGAGCCAAGTTCACTCTGGAAAGWGTCCCTCCCTGCCAAGTGAGCGTGTACTTTGTGCTTTCCTGGAGCAACGATGACCTCCAGCGGACAGCCGGGTAAATCCGCGAGGAGCGTTTCCTGCAGACATCCCCCATCCTGGTCCTTTGCCCCTACGGGCAGTGTCCTGAAGCTCAGCCCAGAGGCTGCTGTGCTTGGCTCCCTTCCAGCATGAGGAAGCATTTCCTGCATTAAACCCCTTGGTCTCTGTCACGGTCACTGGCTCCACTTTTTTTCCCTTATTCTAAACTAGAGTGCAGCCAGAGGGTTGTGCTGTTGCTGAACGGGCAGGTTTTGGAGCAGGGCAGGTTTTGAGGGCCTGAGAGTAAACGGCAGGTGACAACAGGGGACTTGGTGCAATGTCTGTGCTGCCTTTGGGTASCCAGGCTCAGAGCCTGAGATGAGCCGAGCTCTGTTAAGCGCGTGCCCTGCTGAGAGTCCCTGCTCAGTCTCCTGGCTAGGACTAGGGCTGAAAATTAGTCCAAATTGTGCATTATTTATTCCCTCACCTCTCGTTACAGCTCCTTGACCTGAAGATATTCGTGGACACGGACTCGGACATCCGCTTGGTGCGGCGCCTGCGCAGGGACATCAGCGAGCGCGGGCGCGACATCGAGGGCGTCATCAAGCAGTACAACAAGTTTGTGAAACCCGCCTTYGACCAGTACATCCAGCCCACCATGCGGCTGGCCGACATCGTCGTGCCCCGAGGTACCGGCCCCGCGCGCCCCGTGGTTCCRTCCCGAGCGGCACCGGGCAGCCCCGTCCCTGCGGGTCGGCCCTGCCGGCCACGTCCCCGGAGAGGGGCTGCCCTGAGCAAGGCAAAGGCTCCCCCGTCCCCGGTCCTGTCTCTCCAACGCCAACCAAAAGCAAATTCCTAAGGGAATTTGTAAAAAGCACTTTTCCCTCAAGCAACCTTAAGCCCTGCAAGCTCCTGCACCTTAGGGATTTAAAAGCCAGAGGTGACATCTAGGTATACAATAATAGATTATGAAATGAGAATAGCAAGAATGATTCCTGCTGAATGATGCTTTGCAAAGGGAGGGCTTCCTTGGGGGAGCAGGAATCCTGCGTGTTCTTGAGTAGAGAGGGGAAGGTGAGAAAGAAGCTGTCCCAGATGCTGTTATGCTGTGGCTCTGATGCAGATCTCGGCTCTCTTGTTTTTGACCCGCTCCAGGGAGCGGAAACAGGGTGGCCATTGAGCTCATTGTGCAGCACGTCCACAGCCAGCTGGAGGAGGTGAGAGCTCTCCGGTCGCCGGGGGTGTCTTGGGGGACGCTGGCCCGTGCGGGGCCGGGAACCAACGCTGCCCGTGCCGAGCACGGTGCCAGGGCACAAACGGGCCGGCTTCCCTCTGGGCTCCGGGCACGCGGGCACCGGGGCTGTCCCAGGATGTGCTCCGAGCTCGGGTGCCTCCGTGGCACTGCCTCATCCCTGGGGCCTGGTTAGTGCCACCTTCCTCGGCAGTCTGCGTCCAGCAGGAGCTTCCTTCCCCCCTGCCTCCCCRGGAGAACCTGTCCAGTGCAGACTAACCATCCTCAAACGATCCCAGTGACCTCCCCAGGCCCAGCCTTGCACCAAACCCTGCGGGGTTTCACCCTCTGGCTGCTGGCCCTGGCTTCTCCTCTCGCCCCCATGCTCGCAGGCCTTCCAGGCAGGAGCCCAGTTTTCCAGCTCCTTGTCAGGTGCAACCCGTGGGCATCAATGCCCACAGGATGTTTGACTCCCACACCCAGGCGTATCCTCCTCTCTCCTTGCCCATCCTTGGCTCTAACAAGTCTTTAATTCCTTGCTGTGTCCTGGGCCAGCCCCGACCAGAGGCCTGGAGCAGAGGTGGTTGTTGTGCGTTGCCGTTCCCTGAGCAGCACAACCTCTTCCCGCTCCTTATTCGTGGGGTTTGGAGCTCCGCAGTTTCGGCTGCCAAGTCCCTCCCCTGCAGTGCTTTGCAGCCCCGAGTCGCTTTGCTCCTGGGGACACCTGCTCCGCTCGGAGCAYCGTTCCGGAAGGCGCCGGGAGCCTCACCTGGCGGCGGGAGCACTGGGAAGTACAGGTCCAGATTCCCGCGGGCCGTCAGGGCGCCTGGGAGCGCCGTTCCCTGGAAGCAGGTCGGCGCGCGCCCACATCCCGCTCCCCACGGCTGCTCCGCAGGGACTCCTCAGCGCAGGACTTGGGAGGTTCCCCCTCCCTCCGGCCTCCCCAGCTCCCCGTTTCCTAACATGGAGCTTAGCGGGCTGGGGTGCTGGTTCCGCGGGAGCCCCTGCCCTACAAGGGGCCTCGTTTCCGAGGCTGGGCCGAGCAGCTGGAGCACGGAGCAGGAYGGGAAGCGACGCTGGGATCTGGAAGCGGGGAGCTCCCAGCCATGCGCTGCAGCCCGCAAACACAGCAGCTCTGCTCCAGCCAGGCCTGGGGGGGCTTCGGGAGGGCTTTCAGTTATTAGGGGAGGGGAAGAAGGGGAAAAGGCAACGTGTGAATGCAGGAAAATATTCCTATTTTTCCTTTTCTTTTGTCTTGAAACGCCCCTGGTGTTGACAATGCTTAATACCGGTTGCATTGTGTCTTTGTGTTGCTGCCGCAGCGTGAACTCAGTGTCAGGTAAGAGTCCCTAACTCTGTCCTGTCTGTGCAGCCCGAGGCGTTTCCCGTGCCAGGCACCGCTTGGCCTAACCGTGCCGTGCGCTCGCGAGCAGCAGCTCGGCCCGTCGCGCTCGCCGGAGGCCGCCGCGTCCTCCGCTCCGGGCTCCGGACGTCAGGGATGCGCTCAGGGATGTGTAGGGCCTGGGAGGGTGACACCGCCCGGCCCTGCCTAGGCACAGAGCCTCGGGGCTGGGGCAGGTTTGTGAGCTGGGCAGCACGGGGCTCTGTGGGGTCGGGGGCTCCGCATCCCGCGGTTCTCTCTTATTTTTTCCCTTTGTTTCTAAGGCAAAAAGTTGTTTGGAGCCACTCGTTACCCTTGAGCAGAGCCCGGCTGAAAGGGCGCTTGAAATCACAGCAAGGGCTTAGGTTAAACCGAGCAGCTCGAGGGCAAGGGGAGCCCCAAACCCCGAGCCCGGAGCGCCCAAAGGAGCCCGAGCGCCTCGGCCTGGGGAGGTACCTGCCTTTGTGCAGTGCCTGAAGAGGACAAATCCCACGCAGTCACTTTGGGACCAAGAAAATAGTTAAGCCAAAATCCAGCAGGATTTCTGATTTCTTAGTACCTACAGGTGGATGCTATAAAATATACAGCCCTTAACCTCCTCGGCCTCTGAATCCAGATGGGATTTACGCCCCCTTACTTCCATTAAGCAGCCTGCTGAGTTTCCAGGTATTTTTGCAGGAAGCAAGCGGGATGCATTACTGCAGATGGGTTTCAGTTTACATTCCCATCGCTGCATGGAGACACTTAATTCAAGTAATCCTAAAATTTACATTTGGCATACAAAAAAAAAGGTTTTAAAATACCAAAGATGAGCAGGAAAAGCCTCTCCGCTTTACTTGTTTTTCTTTAAGCCATCTCTTTCCCAGACTAGTCAGTGTTTTATTTTATTCCTTTATGTTTATTTAACACCAAGGGGCCTGACATTTCCATACAGACCTTTTCCGTGCAGTGTAGAAGCTTCCCTGTGTCTGGAGCTCCAGGTTTGAAGCTGCTGTTTAGTGTGGAGAGAAGTTTGTGGCTTTATAAAATGATGAGAACAGATGGAGACAGAGAGCTGTAGGGTTTCTTTTCTCTCCACTTATTCCCCTCTTTGTAGCATTCTGTAGAGGCCATCTTTGAACTTTCTCCATGCAGTGCTTAAAAGTGAAGTGCTTAATAATGTGTCAAGACAGTCCAAGTCTGGGAAAAAAGTCCTGCAAAAATCCCATTTATGCTCCTGGGGTGCCGGGGGTTTTCCTGCTGCTGCAGGTTCCAGTCGGCTCCTCCTGTAGCTCCAGGTGACGAAGGGCAGTGAGGTGGATGCAGACGTACGTCAAGTGAGACACGCTTGGCAAATAGGGGCTTTTCAACCCAAACAATTCCCCGTGCTCCTGTCTTGAATGGCTCTGTCTAAATGTCACAGCCGCTCTGATGTCACTGCTGTCTGGGGGCTGTGGGGACGGAGCCGGGTGAACAAACCCTGAGTGCCAGATCTGGCACCAGGCCCCTGCTCCGGGTCCCTGCCTGTCCGCCGCCCACATCCGCGGGTGTTGGAAGCAGTGCCGAGGGCAGCGCACGTGGCCCCGGCTTTCCCTGCGYGTCCCTTGGCTGCCGAGGAGGAGAGTCACCGTCCCGTGTGTCCGGAGGGCAGGGAGACCCCCGAGCGCGGCCGGGGCTTCTCGCCCATGTCACGCTCGCAGCCCGGCCTCTTTTCTGCCCTTCTGCCCTTTTCTTCAGCACCAAACCGGTTTGGGAGCTGCTCTTTGCAGCCGCTTCTCCCTTGCCAGTCCGTGCCGCTCCCGCCCAGGTCCCCGTCAGCTCCGCTTGCCCCTTGCCGGCTGTGTCGTTAAACACCGACCCGTGGCGCAGTGTGGTAGCCCTGGTTTGAGATGCCGGCGTGGAAGGCAGCCCTGTGCGTGTCTGCAATGTCCTCCTGCAGCTGCGTGTCTTGTCTGCTCCCGGTTCCACAGCATGTTCAGCAAAGAGCGAGGAGGTTCCTGAAGCCTCCCRGGGAGACGGCCCCCCCTTCTCGCTTTCTCTCTCTCTCTTTCTTTCTCTTTCTTCTTTTTTACTTTCTTTTTCTTTTTTCTTTTCCTCCTTTAAAGCTCTTGTTCTGAGGGGAAAAAATAAGTTTCCTAAGTGAGATGATTTCCTGACGCACTCCCGGTTGTCCGAGTTTTCCGTGCCTGGGCGGCTGCGCAGGGGAGGGATGAGGAGCGATAAMCCGCTGTGACAGCGGAGCCTGTGGTCCCTCCCGGCCCTCCCCGGGAGGGATGGGGACCAGAGGGAATGTGCAGGGACAGAACTGGGAATCTCCTGCAGTTCCCAGCCCGGGAGCCGCGGGGCTCCCCGAGGTAGGAAGGGGAGCGGAGCCTCCAGCTGGGTGTGGGATCACTACCCGGCTGGCTGGCATGGAGAACCGTGGCCCCCGTGGGGATGTGACCGTGTCCCAACCCCCGTGGGGATGTGGCCACGTCCCCGCGCTGACACCGGGGACTGTCCCRGTGCCACCACGGAGCAGGCGCCGTGCGGATGTCACCTGCATCAGCCACCGTCACCAACGTCAGCTAGGGCTTTCTTCCCCCTTGGACTAATGACGGTGCTTTCTCCTGTGTTTCCTGTTGTGTTCGTCCCTCTGCCCTAAAACTCTCGYGTCTCCTGTCCTGTCTCCCCTGAACATCCCTCCCACCTGGCGAACAGAGGAAGCTGCGCTGGGATATGTGAGGAGACAGCGGCCGCCGGCCGTGCTGTGCGTGTGGCGCTAACCGCGGCACTAACCGCTCGCCGGCCGCGCGGCGCCCTCGTGGCCACGGCCCCGGGGACGCCGCGGCCCCGGCCGCGCTCTGGGGACGCCGGGGCAGGGCCTGGGGTGGCAGCTCTCGGTGCCGGGGGCTCGAGGCCGTGCTGGTGCCCGGGGCAGGAACGGGAGCCCATTGGCACCGCCTGGCAGCGCAGAGCAGGAGCCGCTGCTGCTGCCAGGGGCACGGGGCCTCCCTGCACCCACATGGCAGGGACGGGGAGGCGCCGTCACCCCCTGCATTGGGTGCACGGTGGAGGTGTCACCGCAGAGGTGACTGGGACGTGTGCGGGGCCCCGTAGAGCTGCTTGGTGCCAGTGGACCTGGGGCGCCCTGTCACAGCTAACGCCAGCGCTGGCCACTAACGCTGCTGCTGTCGCCGCAGGGCCGCGGGCCCGAGGGCTGCGTGTGCCAGAGCCAGGGCCCTGCCGGGGAACTGCCCAGCACCGGCGCCAGCGACACTCCGGGCTGCGACGCAGCCGGGGCACGGGGAGCCCCGAGGGCCCCGCGSKGCTCCCCTTGGGCGCTGCCGCCCGGGAGCAGGAGCTGGCTGCGCGGGAGAGGCCGGGCCGCCCGGCGCACTCCCCCTGCTCTCCCTTCCTGCCTGTGTCCGTGTGTGCCGTCGGCGCAGGGGCTGCTTCATCTCATACTTACTCACCGGGTGCTTTCGTCTGTGGCTTGCTCCTGCTCTGCAGCATCCCTGCGTGGCAGCCGCTGCTCGCACGGGCGTGCTGTGACGTGTGGCGCGTTGGGCCCAGCCCTCCTCCCAGACAAAGGCGCTCGGCCCTCCTGCCCGCCCCTACGAGGGCCGCATAGATGTGACCTTCAGCTCGTTACGGCGCTCAAATAGGGAGGTGACTAATGGGGAGCCATTGTGAGCGTCCCGGTGAATGGTGTCCCCTTGATCCCAGAATAGCTCGCAGCCCTGCTCGGATGTGGGGATGAGTCACAGAGCCGCCCGTCCAGCAGCCSCGGCTCGAAGCCCTTCCCGAATCCGTGCTTGCTTGGCTCGCTCCGAAGGAGCCAGACCCGCTCTGAGCTGATCCCGGGGCTCTGCAGAGCCGTCCCCRAGGCCCTGTCCCCTCCGATGGCACCGGAGCTGGCTCAGCCGCCCCAGCTCAGGGAGCACGTCCTGGTGCCACCGTCTCCCAAGGCAGAGAGAGCTGCAGTGGCTGCTGCTCACCCAGGGCGAGCAGGATCCATCACCAGCCCGTAGCCAGATAGATTCCCAAGCAGAGGGATATTCTGGGGCTGGATTTCCCTGGGAATCTCCTTCCCAGGCTGCGGAATGTGGAGGGCCGCGCGGGCGCTGGGAGGAGGGCTGGGCCGGCGGGTGCTGCGGGCACCCGCGCCGCCGCTCACCCACCGTCCGCCTCCTTGCAGGGCCGCGCTGGCCTCTGCCCACCAGTGCCACCCGCTGCCGCAGACGCTGAGCGTGCTGAAGAGCACCCCTCAGGTGAGGGGCATGCACACCATCATCAGGTAACGCCGCCGGGCCGCGCGGCGCCGCGGGACGCGGGACAGGCCCCCTCACCCCGCGGGAGAGCCGGTGCTGGGCCAAGCCCGCGCTTGGGGACCCGGTGCTGGTGGCTCTGGGCTCTGCGCCCGGGGGCCCTTCAGCAGGACACGGTTCCCTGGGCCTGGGTGGGCTGCTCCTGGGGGCCTGTGGGTGCTCCGGGCAGCTCCAAGCTGCCCTGCCAATTCCATCCCCTGGGCACCATGTGAATCCCGGGCACACGTAGCTGACCCCGAGCAAGGGTCGGGGCTGCCCCCTCGCAGCGGCTTCTGCCCACGTCCCCATCTCCCGGGACACGTTCTGGCCGGAGCTCACGTCGCCTCTCCCTCCCCGCAGAAACAAGGAGACCAGCAGGGACGAGTTCATCTTCTACTCCAAGCGGCTCATGCGGCTGCTCATCGAGCACGCGCTCTCATTCCTCCCGTTCCAGGTAGGCCGGGCTGCGCGGCAGGACGGGCGCGCGGGTGCTCTGTCTCGTCCCCACTGACCTGCAGCTGCCAGCGGGATGAGGCAGCCCTGGCTCTTTTCCTGCAGCCTTCCCTGTATGTCCCGTTTTCCATGTCCCTTTTTCCTTCCGCGTGGAATTGCAGCCAGGATTCCCCCCCCCTTTCCAAGGGGCCTGACCTGTGGACATCTGGAGCCAGGGCTCCGGCCGAGCTTTGTTTTCCTGCGTTGTTTTTCTAGAGTTGCACAGTCCAGACTCCTCAGGGCCAGGACTACGAAGGGAGGACGTACAGCGGGAAGCAAGTAAGTGGAAGCAAAAGGCACTGGGCAAACCCGTTATGTGGGGCTGAAAGCCTCCAGGAGCCCCCCCTCCAGGGGCTCACGCGTGCCCGGGTTGGCGCCGGCGCCCTCACCGCGCTGTCCGTGCCCGCAGATCACCGGCGTGTCCATCCTGCGCGCGGGCGAGACCATGGAGCCGGCGCTGCGCGCTGTCTGCAAAGACGTCCGCATCGGCACCATTCTCATCCAGACCAACTGCAACACGGGCGAGCCCGAGGTGACGGAGGGCTTGGGAGGGCCGCGGGATTGATCGCGGTAGGGAAGGAGCCCCCGGCGGCCTCCCGGCTGGACTGTGCACGGGGTCGGGCTGGCCGCAGGGTTGGTCCAGTGCAGAGCTGGGTCCTGGAGATGCAGAAATTCCCGAAGGAGCCCGGGATGCGGGATGTGGCCCCTCGGGAAAGGGCCCTGCGCTTCCCCGTGTCATGGGAGCGGCCCTGCTGCCCGCGGCCCCCGGCTCATCCGTCCCTGCCCCTTTGCAGCTCCACTACCTGCGGCTGCCRAAGGACATCAGCGAAGACCACGTCATCCTCATGGACTGCACGGTGTCCACGGGCGCCGCGGCCATGATGGCCGTGCGGGTGCTGCTGGTACGGAGGAGGCGACGGGCTCCATACGGGGCGCGTGTCGGAGCTTTGCCCGGGCCCAAACGCGCTGCCTTCCCCCCAGCCGGCCCGGGCCGTCGCGCAGCTCCGACACCCTCACCCCGCTGCCTCTCCCGCGCGGCTCCCCGAGCTGCGTCCGCCACCCTGGGCCCCGTCCCTGTGCCTCTCCGCAGGACCATGACGTCCCCGAGGACAAGATCTTCCTCCTGTCCCTGCTCATGGCGGAGATGGGCGTCCACTCGGTGGCCTACGCCTTTCCCCGGGTGAAGATCATCACCACGGCTGTGGACAAGAAAGTGAACGACCTTTTCCGGATAATCCCCGGCATTGGTGAGTAACGGGGTAGCAGTGAACTGCTGCAGGGGACTTTGTTTCTGCCCCGCTCCCCAGAGGTGTTTGGAGCAGAGGATCCAAAAGGAGCTCGTGCAAAACAAACTCACCCTGTTCTCTGCTCCTCACCTCTGCTGCGCCAGGAACGCCCCTGCCCCCGGGTGCTAAAGCAGCCTCCTGGCTGCCCCACTTTCGCTGCTCCACAATTCTAGCCCCGTTTGCGCTGTGAGAAAAGCCTGTTTTAGTGGTGCTGGCAGGAGGGGCCGCCCCGCTGCAGAGCCGCACGGTCCCTGCAGCGCTGCCCCTGTCCCCGCAGGGAACTTCGGCGACCGCTACTTCGGGACGGACGCTCCTCCGGACTGGAGTGACGAGGAAGACGCGCTCAGCACTTAGCTGGACAAGGTGGAGACTGCGGGAGAGAGGCAGCTCCACACGGCACCTTAACCCTTCCCCGCCATTGCCGAGATTCCTCCCTCCTCACCCAGCATAGATATTTTTTTCAAATCGCACATTGCAGATCTAGGTCATATTTTTTCAAAGAAACACAAATCCTAGTTTGACCTTGCGGACACTTCACGTGTCCCAGGGTAGAGTGGAGTTAATTTATTTTAATTTAAATATTTGCCTATATAACTTATTGGAGATATTTTATAAAGAAAAGCCGTAATAAAGGTTTTCTGTGGGTTTCTTGAAGGAAGGAGGCGGCTGGCTGGGGGCAGCCCTGCGCGGCGGGGCCCGAGGTGCCGGGGATGGCGCCATGGGGGAAGGTGGAGGTGCCGCTGCTCTGGGAGCCCCCGAGGGCCGAAAGCAGCGGCCGTGGGCGGGAGGAGCTCGAGGGGCGGCCCCGGCCAAGCCCACCCGCCCCGGGGACRCTTGTGAAAACCAAAGACTGGAAATCCAAGACGCTTAAGAGCAGGGACGTGAGGGCGCTGCTCTGCGCCGCCCGCCATGCCCCACGGCCATGGCTGCTGTCGCCCGGCCCCATCACAGATCCCTTCGTGCCTTACCTACCCCCCGCAGCAGGTCCATGCCGCCCTTGGCAGCGGCTTTTCCCTCAGCGAACCCCGTGTCCTCCCGGGCTGCGCGTCCGCCTCCTTCCCGCCATACCTGGCGCCATCTTGGAGATGGCGGCGGCGCCATCTTAGATGGGGCCATGGCACAATGGCAGCTGTGGCAGCGGCAGGGCCGAGGCGGCGACGTCCCCGTCCGCCATGTCCCCCATGTCCCCCTTTGTGCCCCCCCGTTCCCGAGCGCCGCCCTGCCCCATCACCAGCACCTGCGAGCGGAAAGTCTGCGTGGGYGGCAGCCCCCCTTGGGGCGGCGCTGACGAGGCGGTGGCGGCTCCTCCATCCCGCTCCGTCCCGGCGGCAGCTCCCGCTCCGGCGGCACCGTGAGGGCCTCAGGGCGGCGGCTCTGCCCCCGCGTCCCCCTGGCACCAGTGTCATGGCGGCTTCCTGCCCCGCGCTGCTCAGAATAGCCCCGAGTGGCTAAAAAAAAGATGACAAAAAAGAACCATTATCTCCTGGGCCATCAAAGAGGCCGCTCGGGGACACGCGCGGCCGGGGCGGGTTGCGGTGGCACCGGGCTGGGCCCAACCCACAGAGACCCGAGGGAGTCGGTGCAGCCAGGGCTTACAGGTGGCACCCGGCTCCTTCCTCAGAGCCGGGCACCGCTGCTAAAAACAGGCTCCGATCCCGGTTATTCCCGAGGAGGGAAACCACTCCAAGCTGCCTGGCTCCAACCGCAGCCGCCGGGAACGGCTGCACTCCCATTGTACCTTAAACGAGCGGTGCTAACACAGCCCCGGCCGAGCCACCCGCCCCGGAGACGCGTGTAAAAATCAAAGATGTTTAAAAACACCTTCCACCCACCCGCCTCAACCCTGCAAAGCTGCACAGAACAACATCAGGAATGGAATCCGCGTGCTGCAACGAGGAAGGTTTTTTTAGCAGAGGGGCCGCGCCGGCGCCGTGCTCAGCGCCGGCCCTGGTCCCGCTGCCCCAAGGGGGCTCGGGGGCACAACGCGGGGTCCCGGCCCCGCCGGGCTGCGAGCGCCGCCGCCTTCCCGCCGCTTCCTCCTGCGCGGGAGCCGCGAGGCTGCGCCGCCCTGCAAGGAGGCTCCGCGCGCCGCCCGGCTCCTGCAGGGCCTGGCCAAGCGGCGCTGCTTCATCCACCCTCCCTGCTCCGTAATAAATATAAATATATTTAAATAAATATAAATTTCTTAGGAAATGATTCTTTCGTTTTAATGGTAATTTGCAGAGTAAAAATAGCCGCGCRCTCTGGTGCAATAGGCAGGTGGATGGGGAGCTGCCAGGAGCGCTGAATTGCTGCACGGGAGGGTTTCCAGCGGCGCCGGAGCTGATGGCAGACTCTGGAAAATGCAGCTTTCCAGAGAAAGGCAACTCCAGCATGGAGGAAGCAACCTGGGGTCCCAATTATTTCTGCTGCAGTTTTAATAAATAGACKGGGGGAGCTGGGCAGGGGGACCCAAAGGTGCAGCTGCCATTGGGTGYGGAGGGGAGGGAGATGCATCAAAACCGGCCTCAAGACCAGGCGCCACGCAGAGAGACATCACTTTGGGAACCGTTTTGGGGAGGAAAGCGACGGTCTTTGGGTGTGGGTTAAGAGCAGGGCCTCACACAAGCGATGGGGAGGCAGCCCCATGACAGCCCTGCAGGGAGGCAAGCGGCACGGGAGGACGCTGCAGGGATCCCGCCTGCTCCTCAATCTGCAAGAAGTCAAGAGAACTGCTAAAAAACCCTTTTTCTTGCTTTTTTTTTTTTCCTCCTTCCTCTCCTTCTTGCCGCCCCGTCTGTCCAGCGTGTAATGGAAATTTCACCGCAGCCGCTCGCTGCGCAAACAGGAAGCCGGGCGCAAGGCGGCGGCGCGCGGGGACGGCGCCGGGGCGGCCGCGCGGCCATAAAAGCGGGCGCGGGGGCGGCGGGGGGAGCGGGCGCCGCCGGAGCAGGTAGGGAGGGCGCTGCCGCGGGCCCCGTGCAGGCCGCGCAACGCGCTGCTCGGTGCACGGGGCTGCGCCGCGTAATGCACGGGCTGGGCGCTGCTCGGTGCATGGATGGCACTGATGGGTACCTGGGATTGCATGCTGCTGCGTGCATGGGTTGTGTGCTGCTTGGTGCATGGGGTCGTGCGATTCTGACTGCATGAGTTGTGCGCTGCTCGGTGCATGGAGCTGTGCGCTCCTTGCTGCATGGCGCTGCTCGGTACATCGGGTTGTGCTTGGTTTTTSTCTTTGTAAAACGGTCCTTTCAATTTGCAACCTGTGAGGTTGCAAAGTCCCCTCGCAACTTAAAGAAAGCAGCGAGTCGCGGCTCTGCAATGGAGGCTTTGGCGCGAGGCCCGCGGGTGCCGGCCCCGCGCCCGGCCGCGATGCRCAAGGCAGCGCTGGGAGCCCCACGGCTTCCAAGGGAGCAGGAAACCCAGGAAGGGACGGAAAACCCTCACTGACCCCTCTGGGCCTTTCTCAACCCCCTCCTCAGTCCGGTCTGGGTTCATACGGACACGATCATCTGGGCAAAATTTAGAAGGAAAAAAAACCCTTCCCTTCGCTTTCGTATTTTCTTTCCATTCTAACACGCGTTTTTCTCTCTTACGGCAGGAAAAGGCTCTGTCATGAGGCGGGGGGGAAGAGGGCGATTCCCCTTCCCGGGACTCGKCCGTCGCGGCCTCGGCAGCGCTCGGGAGGCTCCTGGGGGCTCCCTCGGGACRAGGTTTGGCCGTTTGGACCGCGCGGCACCGAGGCCGCTCCGCGCTGCTCCCTCCGCGCTCTCCCTTCCCTCGCGCCTCGGCGCCCGAGCGCGGAGCCCTCGGGGCCACCCGGCGAGGGGCACCTCGAGGACTGTCTAACCTGAGAATGGTGAAACACGAGGCTCAATCTCAGGTTCGTCAGCCCACGAGGCGCCTTCTCCAGAGTCTGCATCCGCCCGGACGCCTGGGCCCCGCTGCGGGGGTGACGGAGCCGCTGGGCTCCGCTCCGCAGCCCGTTGGGAGCCGCGTGCCGGGAGCCGCGCTGGCGCTCGGGAGCCACCAAAGCGGCGCTAATTAATCCCCTGGTGGCRCCGGGGTCTTCATTGATGAGTTGTCGCTCCTTGAGGGACTGGGGAAAAGAAAACAAATTGAAAAACAAAGCCAAGTTGAGCTTCCTAAGGCAAGCAGGGGGCCACGCGTCGCACCCGTGCCCGTCCCTAACGGGCCTAACGGGTGCTGGAGGAAGCGGGAGGGCTGCGGCTGTGCCAAGGAACCTGCCAGAACAATAAATCTCCTAAATCCTGCTTTTTTCCAAGCTTTGTCAGGGCGGAGGGCGGGTTGCTGGACATGCGGGYGCACGAGGGCTCCGGCTGCCGCCCCGGGATGCGGGAGAGGCGCCGGCGCCGAGCGCAGCGGCCTCGAGCAGGTCCCTGTGGCCCCGAGCGCTGATCCAGGGCTCCGTCCTGCTGCCTGGAGGAGGCGCCCGGGCCCGGCAGCCACGTCCGGGCGCGGAGCGTCCCTGAGTGCCGCCGCGGAGCCGGGGCCGGCGCCTGYCCCTGTCCGTGCTGCGCCCCAGCCCCAAACAAGCTGGTGCTTTGCAAGGGGGGTGAGGCCTGCGCTGCTCCAAGCACACATGTACACGCACACACATGTGCATGCACACACATGTGCACATGCATGTGCACACACACACACACACACGTGCACCATTGCTCAGTGCCACTTCAGAGCCCTCACTCAGGCGACTTGTCCCCGGTGTCTGCATCTGCTCCTGCACCACCATGCACACACGTGGCTGCACACCTGTACACACCTGCACACCTGCATGCGCACACCCCCTGCATGCACAGGCACACCTGCACACACCTGCACATCTGCATGCACATACACCCTACATGCACACACATACCTGCACGCACACACCTGCACCTGCATGCACACACATCCTACACGCACACACCTGCACCTGCATGCACACACATCCTACACGCACATACACACCCTGCATGCACTCACATACCTGCACGCACACACCTCCTGCACACACACACACACCTGCATGCACAGACACCCCGTGCACACAAGCGCACCAGCACACACACACACAGTGCACGCACACCCGCCCGCTCCCCTGCTCCTCTCTGCACACCCTCTGCAAGCACCCACGTTCCCGCACCTTTCCCTGCACCCCCGTGCACGCGCACACACACACGCGCACGTGCCCGCGCCCCCCGTGCCCGCGCGCGGCCCGTCAGCACCGCGGACAGCGGCCGCCCGCCCCGCGCGTCACGTGGCCGCCGGCTCCGGCGCGGTCACGTGCGCGGCCGCCCCCATATAAGGCGGCGGCGGGAGCGCGGCCCCGAGCGGGGCGTCCGGCCGCGGCGGAGCGCGCGGCAGCGGTGAGAGCGGGACGGGACCGGGACCGGGACCGGGACCGGGGACCCGCACGGGATGGAGGGACAGGGACCCGCACGGGGCGGGACGAGGGGACAGGGACCCACACGGGACAAGGAGGGACACCGGGACCCGCACGGGAGGGAGGGGACAGGGACCTGCACGGGACAAG